ACATGTGTTTATAAATGGTAAAATATTTATCAGAACTTCCTCAAAGTATTTCATGCGTAAAGAATTAGGTTCTTTACTAATTAGAGTGGCATTTATAAAATCAAGATTATGAGTATATTATTCATTTTGGAATGACTCTTTATATAAGTGTATTCCTGATGTTTGCATTTTCTTGTTGAAAAACAGTCATTTTCTTTTTATTTGATAAAAAAAGAAGCCACTTGCATAGTTAATCATGTGAGAATCTCTACTAAATTCTCTTGGCAGTTCTTTTTTATCCAATGACATACAGGCTTCTAAATAAATATGGCAAAAAAGCAAACATGTTTCTACAATCCTACAGATATATCACAGATTTTACAAGACCGATCAATTCATAGTTTCCCATTAAGTGAACTTGTAGTGTTACTAATACAGCATATGGAATGTGAAACCTGGGACTCGGACTATAGGCCAACATTTTTTTAATAAGCAATGCCAACACACAAGTTCGTAATTATATGGTACTAATACATATATACATTCAGTATATGTAATATTTTATAATTAACTGAAGAGAAACTTAAGAATAGCATAACAAAGTAAGTTTAGTATTTGGAGAAGGGTCTGAAGATGAAAAGTCACTTTGACTTTCTGATAATGTGTAGAATGCATTATGTTCTGTTCTTGATTTTTTTTTCTACTTCATGGCACCAACAGAATTTCCAAATAATATTCGTTATCTATATTTTTTTTTAACATAGTTGCATAGTCTCAGACCCAAAAGCACCATTTGGCTATTATGCTCCTCAAAGATAAACCATACATTGTGTACATTACATGAATATGAGGTTGTAAGGATATGTTATAAGAAAGCATATATTCAGTTACAACCTACCTTTACTCTCTCTTACTTTTAATTTTCTGATCATGATGACCTTAGAGGGAGCAGAACAACAAGCACCACATTAACAACAGCAACAAATGCCTAGTAAAGGTTATTTAAAACAATCAGAATCATTTATGGCAAATCAGCATTGAATAACATTCCTACTGATACTGAAAGACTCTAGCAGACAAGAATTTTGTGGCTGCTGCTAAAAAATAAATAACAAATTACCAGATAAGACATCTATTCTTATTTGCACACCTATATGCTTACTGAGAAGTACTATTATTTATTAGAATAAAACAAAATTAAAACTGTATGTCTATATAAAATAATGCATTTACAAAAAAAAAAAAAAATTCAAAGTTTAAAATTCTTTTTATTCAGGAAATAATCCATTAATCATAATATATTCATATTCTGAAAATAAATAAATTTATAAATATCTACAGGAAAAAAAAGAAATATCAAACAAATTTAATGATTAAGGGATTTTCATTTTCAAGAAAATAGTTTATTTTAGCACACATTCAACAAAATAGATTCTGGTCTATATTTGTTGATCTTTTTAAAAAAAATTACTTTAGCTTAATATAACAATGTTGGTGGTGTTGCTTTTGCTTACTATAAACATTTCTTTTTCTGTCTGAATTTCTGGGATGGGAAGTTTTCATTATTTACATAATATGCACATAAGCTTCATGTTTGTTGTTATTATTACAACATTTCAGCTACTGTGCCATTCAGCCTTCTTCAGGTGTTTGTTGATTCAGGTAACTTTCAAGGAATTTGAAACCAAACCCTTTATTTAATATACAGGAGTAGGTTGTTCCACTGGCCATACCTAAGGATATCTCATTCTTATTTAATACTGGCCAGTTATAATTCACCTGGTTTCCACTGAAACTACACCTGTACTCCTTGGTAAGCTGAGCATAGAAATACAATATGGGAGCAGTTAATAAATAAAGAGAAATGACAGCCAGGCTTGAAGAGCTGCAGCAGTTGCAGCAATAAGGAAAGAGAAGCTTTGGTGAATGCATTCACATGTACATGTAACAAACAACAGACAGATTAAGTTTAAGGTTCAAAGTTCTAGACTCAACCTAGTGGATTAAAGTATTAGTTTGTGAATTGTGAGTTCAATCCCTGGGATAGGTAGTACTGACTTAGTGGAAAGAGGGCAAGCAATAATTGAGTACTAAATAAGAACAAAACAAGATATCCATAGACATAGATATTAGAATAATCTATCCTATAGATTAAATAACAGTTTCAGTTTTGAATTTCCTGATCAACAAGCACCCGAAAATGGTCGGAGGACACAACAGCTGAAACCTGAGAGTAACAACAAAGATGAAGAAAACAGCCCAAGTGCAAATCATGTAAATAGTATTTATTTTAGAGGCAAAGAGATTCCACACAAGGATTTGTGAAAAAAATATTTAAGGAATGCATTATGTAAAAAAAATTGTTGTTAAACACTTCTAGCAGCATGGATTTAATTGGAATAAAATAATACAAGTCCTGGCCTATAAGATGATAAAGCCAATTGAATAAATAAATAGTTTATACTAATTGTTTATCAAGAGGAAATTTATTTTTATGGTTTTATTATTTCTATTCATCATACCTAAAGAAAAAATACATGATGCTGAATTTTCGTTTTTTCTTTAAGAATTTTAAATGAATTTAAAAATAAAATTCAAGGCTAAACACAACACAAATTTAAATTGTTTTGTCTGAAATGGCTACTTGATGTTTAGTTTAACTAATTGTTACTTTTAAGTTAATGAGAATATAAATTTAAAGAAGTTCTTGAAAAAGCACAGCCCAATAAAAATTATCTTTTCATCACAGCTCTGACCTTGAATTTTAACTTTTTTTTTCAGGCAGCCTTTTTGTCTCTTCATTTATGTTGACTTATTGCAGAATTATTTGCTTTTTTTCTTTTTTTTTTTTGCTTACCCCCTAACCAGGGTTGCCAGTTTAAAAGTACATTTTGAATTTTACTATTTGCAACTTTTGGTGTTTACTTTTAAAATAAGATGTGATAACTTTTTAGCAACTAACAAAAAATCTATTTAAAATTTAGTAGCGCCGGACTTTCAAATCAGTCCAATTTGTTCATTGTAAAAATGTAACCCTATCTGGCAAACCATATCCCTACCATACACATTATTCTCTAATAGTCAGTCTCTCAGTCTCTCTCTCAAACCAATACAAAAACGACTGTATTCCTGAGTCTATTGTCAATCGTGTTGCTTTTTTTTTTTTCAGAACTTCAGCAGGTAGTTACAGCTAAAATTAAAATTAAAAAAAAAAAAAAAAAAAATCAACTATAAATATTCAAATCCATACCAAGGAGATTAACTTTCTAAACAGAATGCAAAAAAATGTTTCGATCTTTGTATAGTTCTTCTTGAGTTTTCATTTATTGCAACTCGTACAGTACACTTTTTCGGTCGAAAAATTTTCATCCCTTAGTTAGTTGTGAGTTTAATTTGTGATGTCTAAATATAGGTAGAAAAAAATCAGATGTTGATAAGAAGATAGCAAGGGTCACAAAGCACGGCCCGGGGCCCCCAATCAGCCCCCGCTCCGGTCGAGGGCAGTACGCGTCGGCCCTGAATATATATGGAAGGTAAATGTTCCCAGAAATCAGGACATTTTTTTCTGACCGTGAGCTTACTGACATCAAATATAAACTGAAATTTTATCAGTAATTCTTCTTCAGAGATTATTTAACATTCAACTTGTACGTATGAAAACAAGAAAATTTACATTTCAAACGAAATTTTTCGTTTTATTACTTCCAAATCTAAAGGTGAGTTAGAATTCAGATTATGAAGTACGTAAAGGAAATGTAGCCTGGTAATTAGGCGTTTGATACGCGAAAATTGTTTAGAATAGAGCGGTAAAAAAAAATAAAAATAAAAAAATAGCAAATCCCCGAATTTTTAAATCCAGAAATTAAAAATGTTGTATCTTCGTCACAGAGTGTTGAGATTTAAGGAGAAAGTGAATATCCCTGAATTACAGTACAGCCCAGATCCAAGATTTCACTTGGAAGGGTCCAGTCAGAGTTAATAATACCGGAGCCGTTCCAAAAAGAGAAGTGCCGACGAAATTAGACAAGTTCTGAAACTGCCCGATACATCCTTAAAAGAAAAAAAAAAGAGAGAGCTTGACCTTGCGTGCAGAGGTGGATCAATTTCAGTGCGTGTATTGAGAAAAAAAAAACTATAGTTAGTTGTCGATGACAAGAGTTATAAAAAAAAAACCCCATCAAAAAAAAAAAAAAAAAAAAAAAGGTGTCTATGCAGAATATAAGATAAAATTTTGAAGAACACAGATTATTAGTTTTTTTTTTCTTTAGTTTTTTGTAGTAATTTTTTTGCGTGAAAGAAATGAATAATAGATTATCATTAATTTTTCATTTCTCTACTCTCTCTAAACATAAATTTGAATTAGCGCTTACGATGATAATGTATTATTGTAAATCAAGTTCTTTTAAAATGTGAAGGAAGTTTCAAAAAATAAAATAAAATAAAATTTATTCATTAAAAAAAATAAATTTGAGGTATAATGGGCCGGTACAACGAATATGGATCACACTTTTTACTTTTTTAGTTTTTATTCTGGATTGTTGTGGCATTCATTTACAAACATTTACATTCGGTGAATTGTTTGCTGACAAATCTTCGAGGGAAATAAAAATAAACAATCATTCATAACAAAAAAAAATGTATTATTTTATAAATAAATTTTTGTAAAAATTGGAATTAAACACGAAATTTAATTTTGCAAAAATAAACACACTAAAAACTAAGTGTCTCATTTATTAAAAAGAAACAAGGTCAACGTTTGTACGACAGAACTTCAAGTATTTAATTGTATTTCAGTTAGGGGAAAATTAACACAATCTAAAAAAAAACAGAACGTTTACAAAACTCCTTTCCTCGTGGAGTAGAAAAACACGTGACAACATAGAAAGAGAACTTTACATTTCAATGTTTTCATCTATTGAAAAAAGAAGAAGAGGGGAAACTTTACAAAATGTGTACAGTATTGAATAAACAAAGGTGGGAAATTTCACAATAGGAAAATAATGTTAAATTTGTTGACTTACTCTTCCTGTGTACCCGATTGCTGTTCCATCTTTTTTTCCTTTTCTGTCTGCTCAAACGTGGCGGTTATTCTCAAAGGGAGATTACTCCATATTTAAATATAAATATACTTTTGAACGTCATTTATCAATGTAAGGTAAAAATTAATTCCAGGCATTTAGAGCTGCTAAAGATATCAACATTAAAATATTTTATTTCTTTGTGTTTAAAATATATAGTTGTACTTATTTTTATACTTGTAAAATCCATGTTTAAAGTACAAACAGATGCTAATGGAAGATTTACTGCGTCAAGAATAAGTAATCAATTCAAATTGTGTATTGCATTAAATGAACAAAGTTTTTTTTTTAAATTAAGAAACTGACATATTAAAACTCGTAATGGCTGACTACTTTCTCCTTTACCCCTTAAATAAGTAAAAGAAAGAAAAGTGGAGAGTTTGTTTTGTCAGCTCGGAGGAAACAGGAAAATATCACCACAAAGTCTGTTGCTGATTGTTGCTGGTCTTGTTTAGACAGTCAAATGAAAGCACTTACTGCTAATCTCTTTTAGAGGAAATGGATGGTGATGTTTCGGTCAGCAGCAAACAAGAAAAGAAGAGCAAACAACCCTTCACATTTTCCAAATTAAGAATAGAATAACATCGTTGAGCAAATTTGGATGCAATTTAATAACAAGGTCTACTTAGAAGGGTTAGAGACAGTTTGAAAAATGTCTAGAGAAATAAAGTTTTAAAAAAAAATGCCCATGTATGTACAGATGTGTATGTGTGATAGATTTTTATATAGGAATATGCATATATACATTTATGGATAGAAGTAACTCATTTAGGAAATTTCTTTTCCTGCAGTCAAAGTAGTTGGGGGTTTTGGGAAAGTATTTTAATTCACACAGGTTGATCTCTATATGGCATGAGTGTCCGAATGAGAAGGCTTGGTGTGAGTAAATGATTGTGCCATGTGTTCTTGGCGTGAGTACTCTTGTATATGCTCCTGCATGTGCTTGTTGTCAGTACTCTCTGAATGGCTTTTGTTGCATGCTGAGAGAACTTTTATTATCTTCGTTTTATTCATTTTATTTTAAACAGAGTTTTAATGTTATTTGTTTTGTTTTTGTAGTGATATGTAAATGAGGTACTGTATAAAAGGCAGGGTCGCTATACCTATGGGAGAGTTATTTTTTCTTGACAAGACTACATCTGTCAGAGAGAATACTTATCATAACAATATGGTGTCATCGATCAGTTACTTAACCATAATGGAAGATCCGGAATATTTAGAAACCTGGCTATCATGGTCTATCACAAAGTGTTGGAAGATTTAGCCTATGAAGAAATTGCTGCCATCATAAAAGCAAATATATGATCAAAGAAAGATTGGTCATAGAGGAAAGAAATAAATTTCTCAAAAGTAGGCAGAGACTGGATGAAACTATTATGCAATATGTACATCGATTGAAAGAAGCATCGAGATATTGTGATTTTGAAAGAATGAGTTTAGAAAAAATATCTATTGAAGATGAGCTAATTTTGCTAAGACTGATTCAAGGAATGTTTGACATCTTGTACAAGCATAAAATTCTAGAGTGGCTTCAAGCTCATAATATAAATCTAGAAGTGTTACGGTCCAGGTTAGGACCAATGTAGAACAACACGAACACAAGAGTAGAAATAACGAAGGTATATTACATGAAATAATAATACAAGATATGGAAGGTGTTAGTATGACTCTCAGTCTGGTTTGGAGTGAACTACTATCGGCTCGACTCGATTCGGTATCTAGCCACCCCCACGAGGGTTGCATGTGGCACAAGGCCGAGTTTAACGTGGGTTTCCCGAGCCCGTAGGCTCGTCCAAAAAAATGCCCGTAGAACCCGTATAAACGGGATCGGGTTGGTCAACCTCCCTGAACGAAGCTCTGCCCTTCGGCGGAGCCTCGTCCGGGTTCCTCTCTGCTCAAAGGCAGGGAGTTCGACCGTCAAGCCGAGAAGCTCAGCTTGATTCCTCCCTCTCTTTTGCGAAGCGTAGTATACATAGTGTTAGGAAGAGTTCATTCTGTAGTTATAGGTAAAGACCCATGACACCCCTCCCAAGCTTTTACCTCGCAGGGGTCATTAATATTTTTTCCTCTTCGGATTAATCATCAAAGGCTCTGTAAATTTTCTTTTTCTGCTTGATTTCCGCGCTTCTGAAATTGCTTGAGGCCTTTGCATATTGAATATGTCAAATATTGTGTCCATTACTTCTTCCTCTTGTTGAGACCAATAGAATCCTCTAACAGCCTCTTTCTGATCTGATTTAAGTGCCTTTTATGCGAGAACTTCGGACCCTGAATTATGTAAATCATGTTCCCGATTCGTTTCTCTATTGTACCTGGCTCCCAATAGGATGTGTTGTTTTTGAACATTTAAAAAAAACTTTCTCCCCTGGCCTAAATTTTCTTTTTGGTACAAACGACGTTGGTGATTGCTTTGTCTGTTTTGGCAGTAATTTGTTGAATATCGATCTAAATTTTTGGGTGAACATTACTTCCGCCAGCGATAATGCCAATGGCGTAGTACTGTTCGGTGTAATTCTACACTTGCAAGAATTGTTTTAAAGCCTTTTCTGTTGGTATGTTATAAGCTTTCCTTAGTGCTCTTTTTAATGTATTTATTGTCGTCTCAGAAGTAGGTTTTCTACAACGAAATACTTCTGGATATTTTCTGTAACTGCCTACTACAATCAAGTAGTAGAAACCCTCTAATGGAGCTGCGAAATCTACATGGATTCTCGACCACGGTCGATCTGTCTTAGGATATGGCTTATGAGGGATCAGAGGTGCCTTGGCTGCTAAGGAACAGCCCTTGCATTTGTCCACCATATGTATAATACCTTGATCCATGTTTGGCCAGTACACGTAACTTCGCATTAAGGATTTCATCCTGTTCTTTCCTGGGGTGGTCCATGTGAAAATCCTTGAGGATTCGCCTTTGTAGCGTTTTCGGGGTTACTACTCTTTCATTATATAGCAGAACATTATCACATAACGAAAAACTGTCTGATATATGCTTATCTTTTCCTGCAATTTTTGTTTTCGTTTCCTTTATAAATTCATCATTTACTGCTTCGTTTCTTATTTCCTGTAATGTGACGGGGAGGTTTCGAATTGTACTACATAATATCTTCCTCATATCGTAGGGCTGCAATTACGGAATCTTCTAATGGCTCCGTTTTCTTTGATATTAGTCTCGAAAGACCGTCTGCATGCCCGATTTTGTTTGATGGAAGATACTCCAATTTGAAATTATAATTTAATAAAATCGTACCCCATCTTAGTAATGTATTAGCAGTGTAGACAGGTAGACCTTTCTTTAATCCAAATATTGTTAGTAACGGCTTGTGGCCCGTCTGCAAGGTGAAAAATCTACCGTAAATATACCCGTGGAATCTTGTAATCGCAAAAATAATCCCCAGCGCTTCTCTTTCGATTTGTGAGTAATTTTGTTCGGCTGGTAGTAATGTTCTTGACGTATGCGCGATGGGTTTTAGTGTCCCATCCGGCATTTTATGAAGTATACATGCCCCAACACCATAGGCACTCGGGACTATTATTTCCAATTTTGGATCATAATGCGCTAAAAATAAATCTGCTGTTAGAGTCTTAATGATTTTGTCGAAAGTTTTCTGACATTCATATGACCATTCCCAAACTTTCTCCTTCTTCAACAGTTCGTTTAGGGGTGCGCGTAATTTGTGCATGTTAGGAATAAATTCTTGATAATTCTCTAAGTCCAAGAAGCTTTGTAACTCGGCTAAATTTTTGGAGCCGGCATTTTTTTTTTATTGCCGTTGCTCTTTCTGGGTCTGGTCTTCTTCCTTCTTCGTTAATAATATGGCCCAGATATTTTATCTCCTTCATAAAGAAGTCACATTTATTTTCCTTTACCTTAAAACCGTAATTTTGTATCTGCCTGAAAACCTCTTGAACGTGTTCCCAGTGTTGTTCAATATTTTTGCTATTTATCAGGATGTCATCAAGGTATGCGATCGTGAAATCCAGTCCGCCTAGCATATCGTCCATTATTTGCTGAAATATCGCCGGCGCGACCTTGATCCTGAATTGTAATCTCTGGAACTTGTATAATCCTTTATGTATGCTTATGCACAACAACCTCGAGCTTTCCTCATCTACTGGTGTTTGTAGGTATGCTTCGCTCAAGTCTATTTTTGAGAAAAATTTTCCTCCGTTCAACTTTGTGAAAACTTCCTCTCGACTAGGCAGAGGATAGTGATAATCCTTAATCGCTGCATTCAATCCCGTCGAGAAATCAGCGCATACTCTTATCTCACCCGATTTCTTTTTCACGTAAACCGTAGGTGCGGCCCATTGACTATGTTCTACCTCTGTCAATATACCGGTTTTCACGAGTCTATCCAACTCTTCGTCTATCTTTTCTAATGATGTGAAAGGTACATTTCTTTTCTTCTTGAAAATGGGTTGTACATTTTTTTTAGTTCGATCTTGGCCGTCACTTTTTTACACCTCCCGAGGCCAGCTGAAAATACGTCGAGGAAACTCTCCTTTAATTTCTCCTTCAATTTCTCTGCCTTGGTCGATAACCTTTCCACTTTTTGGCAGAACGTATTTATCGGCAAATCCCAGAGGTCAAATTTCTGCATCCAGTCAGTTCCAAATAAATTTTCCGTATTTTTTAGAACATACATCTTTAATTTCTTGGTTATCCCGTTGAACGTCACATTTGTGATAATCTCCCCCTCAAATTTGATTTTTCTTCCTGTTACCAACCTGGCTATTTTATCTGTTCTCAACATGGTCGGTTTGTTTAATTTCTTCCACGTCTGTAAGTTAATGATGGTTAAATCTGATCCGGAATCTAATTGTAATCTGATATTTTGGTTTAACATTTCTACTTGTACGTATTTTCGTATATTTATCCCGTCCGCTTGGTCAGTTCTAGTGACTCTTACTCGGCTTTTGTTTTCTTTCTTGGTTCTACAGTGCGAACTTTTATGTCCCACTTTATTGCGCG